ATCATACAAATAATAAATAATTATAACAGTAACTAAAATAAGAAAACTTGCAAAATCATTTTTATAATTCCACCACAATACTTACAAGATCTGTATAAATTTAGTTTGCAAGCTTACTAAAATAGTTTTGTGATTGTAATTAAAGGTAAAAAGCTACATAATTATTGAGCTTTCTAACATAAACATACATCTAAACATAATTATTGAGCCTTCTCAATCTCAAGAATTTAGATTTTACTTGACCATTGATAAGGACCATTTGATCCATGTTATTGTTTTTAAGTGTTAAGGTCTGTAACCTTCTAATTTTGAACCCTGCATTTAAACTTCTGAGTCAATTACTAGTGTAAAAATTTTTTTTTTGGATGAAAATGGCCTGCATTCCTGTTACATAATAAGGAATAATAATACAGAACATTAACAGGAAAAAGTTTCAATTTTTTACTGTTAAATAAATTTAAGAATTTTACAAATTAAAAAACAATAATTTAATTGTAAATGCTAAAAATATTAACTTTTTAAATAAATTAAAGGTATACAATTGTGACTTATTGGAGCTTCTAAATGAATAAATTTGTTTCTCTGAATTTTTGTTGTATCCTAAAATCTATGTGAATTTTTTTTTCATTTTGTTTTTTATTTCTGACAATAACTCACACATAAATAAGTGAGTTAACAATAATAATTCACATAATAATAGATACCTAATTTAATAGCAAATATTGTTTAAAAAAAAAAACTTTTTGTAAACAGCTTTATTATTTTTGCCCAGTATTTTGTTTTTAAAATTTTTACTGGCTTAGATTGAACATAATGAATCCAGTAGAAAATGGGGAATGACATCATCTCTTCGAAGACATTTGGGACGCAAGCGAAATCCTCATAGAAGTACTCATGATGTGAGTTTACCTCTTATTTTTATTTTTTATTATTCTTTGTTTTTTACATTTCATTTTTAAGCACCTTCAATATTTTACTGCTGTATTAAAGTGTAACCGTGGATATCTAGTTTCTGTTGCTAAACTGATTTTCTTTTTTCATACAATTACTTATCAATAATTCATATTAATGGACTTAAAAAAATTCAAAATTTTGAAATCTTCAATTTTTCAATTTTTTGGTTGGAAGAAGTGGTTGAGTAAAAAAAATCCTTTAAAAAAGGCATAAAATGGTTTTTATTCGATATGTAATATTAATTTTCTTGCATTTTGTTGTATTCTCATTAGATAAATGCTAATTTGGAAATAATTACTCTGGATTTGTTAATATTTTTAATTTTTCTTCAAAATAGGCTTATGCTGTTTTATGTTTCCCCTTCATCCAATCTTTTTGTTAAATAATAATTTAAAAAATAAGTTTTAAATTAAGTTTATTATTCCAGCAGTTTTGAAAAAAAAATTATTAATCCATTCTTTGTTATAACTGCAGTCATACCTCGATATAAGGTCACCCTAAGGGACATCTCAAAAGTGACCTTATTAGCGGGGTGAGCTTTTAACCGATTCATTAGCAGTTCGTAACTAAGCACGTAAATAGTACATATTATGATTTTTTTTAAATGGTAATACAAACGAAAACGATCGGACGAAAACGAACGAAAGTCAATAAATTTTAATAGAATTAGTAAAGAATTAAAAAAAGTTAGATTTTTAAAATTTTTTTAAATTTGAAATAAAACTTTTTACAAACTTCCTCAAAGTGTGCATATGTTACGGCCAAAGCCCGAAGGCCGGCCAGATCGCAAAGTGGCCGAGGATGGCTGGCCAAAGTCTGAAATAATTGAAACAATCAGTGAATGTTTTACTTTGGCGGCCTTCTATAATTATATATAAATAATTCTTATAAATCTTCTAATTTAAAAATATAAAAAATAGAAGTTTTTAAATTGTCTATTTAATTGTCATGCATACCAAAGGTCTTGTTAAGTACCACTGCCCGGTATACATTTGCCCGGTATACCCTACACTGATGTTTTTTTAAGGTTCAGTGCCACTGCCCGGTATACCCTACACTGATGTTTTTTTAAGGTTCAGTGCCACTGCCCGGTATACATTTGCCCAGTATATCCTATACTGATGTTTTTTTTTAAGGTCAAGTGCCTCTGCCCGGTATAAATTTTTCCGGTATATCTTACACTGATGTTTTTTTAAGGTCAAGTGCAACTGCCCGGTATATCCTACACTGATGTTTTTTTAAGGTCAAGTGCCCCTGCCCGGTATACATTTGCCTGGTATAATGAATTTTTCTTCCAACTTTGGCTGATCTTCCCATGCTAATTCGCGATTTGTCCCAATTCCTGAAATCAAGAACAATTTCGGACTTTGGCCAGCTAATTTACAGCGTTCTTGGCCAATTCGCGATCTGGCCGGCCAGATCGCGAATTGGCCGACTTCAGGCTTTGCCGTAACACTTACATACATTACATCTTACCTTGTTTAAAATAATCATTTATGCAGGTCTGTCTCTCTTTTGGTTTCATTTTTCAAACAATGTTTTCTAGATTTTGTAACTTCTCAAAATGTTCCTCAGCTCCCTCTTGGTTTGTAAAAAAATTTCATAGGGCATTTATTGCATAGAAAGCTTCCATTTGGGTTACAGCTACAGTCTCAGAATTACTGACATTGTCCTCACTGTCCACAACGTGTGAAACAATTTCAGAAATTGTAGCTTCAGAAGTAGTGGCAATTTCCTCATCAATCAAACCATATTCAGCCTCTCCTTCAATGGCATAGCCACAATTTTTCAAATCTTCCATCAGAACAGGTTGAGGAATATTGTCTTCTTCGGTTTTGCCATCAACAATATTCAGAGAACTCACAAAACCAGCATGACGAAAACAATTTGCTATGCATGTGGTGGATTTCATGTTCCAACTTTTGTACACATAGAAAATGGCATCCAAGACAGTAATGTGAAGCTCCTTTTTTTGGTCAATGGCAGCGATAAAGTCCTTCAGGAGGAGCTTACGATAATTCACTTTTAGGATTTGGATAACTCCTTCATCCAATGGTTGGAGAACGCTGGTCACATCGGAAGGCGAGAAAACAAGCTCAATTGAGGCTAACTGTGGGATGTTGGTATGAGCTGTGCAATTGTCTGCTATGAAAAAACTTTTCGCTTCTTCTTCACAAACTGCCTGTCTAAGCGGCGCATTGTTTTCTCCCAAATGGTTACGGTCATCCACGCTTTTTTGTTAATGTCGTAGTCCACGGGTAAAAATTTCAAATTTTTAAAGCAACCTGGCTTTTGGAATTTACCAATAACAATAGGTCTCAATTTTTCAGAGCCATCCATATTGGCCCCTAAAAATACTGTAAGTCTTTCTTTACTTTTCTTGCCACCTGCAAATTTTTCATTTTTTAATGCTAAAGTTTTTTCAGGTAAGACTTGGAAGACCACATTCATTGATGTTGAATACATCGCATGGCTTATACCGTTTCAAAATGTCATCTTCTAACACAGATTTCTTTCACTCATTCAAAACAGTTCCGTCAACACCTCCAGCTTCACCGCTTACTGTCTTGAAAGTTAAATCATGTCTTACTTTAAATCTCTGAATCCATCCATTGCTGACCATAAAATTAAGATTTTCAGAGCTCTATTTGCAGAGCTTCATTACTGAACACAATATCAGCATATTTTGTGCTCTTTTAATTTTTAATTTTCATCCATCGGAGAATGGCTTCTTCAATTTTCTCATAAGGGGAAAAATTCATCCTTTTTCTTTTCCCATTTCCATTTCGATGAGAAGACAATATTATTTAGGGTATTGCGTTGTGTACGACGTTCTTCGACAAAACATGCTTCCTATAAATTTAAATTTTAAAAATCTTCATCGCTCTCTTTGCTAGCATGATGATACGATGAGAGAGGTTTGAATGAAATTCGTTCCTCTGGTCTGGTCAGCAAATGGTAACACGACACAATGGGAAAACTTGTCTTTTGTCCTCGTCCGAATGCCGAACTCCCCCTCCCTGGAAGTGTGGACAGGGAGAAGCAATTACTCGCAGCGAAGGCGGGGGGGGGGATTCTCTCCAGGTCCAGGTGTGTTTGTTGGCTGCAACATTTTCCTAGAACTTGAGAGGGCTAATTGCCTTGTAACGAAGGTAAATAGGCTTTTGTTAGAAAAGAGCTTCCCTCGCCTCAGATAAAAATGACCTTATAAGCGATAACGATTTTTAAAACTTAACCATATATTCTATAATCTGTAACAAAGAATTCCTATTCAGTGAGCCGGGATTTGAAAAGTTACCTTATATCGAGGTCTGACTGCACTTACTTTAAAAACACAATACTGCATTTTACTTTTTTTTCTTCTAAAATGCTCAAATCTGCTTTTTTTTTTTTTTTTTTTTTTTTTTTTTTTTTTTTTANTTTTTTTTTTTTAATTTTTTTTATTTATTATTATTTAGAAGAGTTAACCTGTTTTCTTTGCTCTTGTAAGCACATTAAAGTTGACTGGCAATTTAATTTTAACTTAGTTCAATCAATACAAAGTTCATACAAGCTTCATTCATAGCTTAGATTTTGAATTTTTTTAATGCCATTAAATATCAATGTATACCTACTTGTAGTTATAAATTTTTTAAATTTATTATTATTATGAATAACTAAGTAGGATCAAAACATCTGTACAGAATCAAAATCTTTTCAAGCCCCTTTTGTCCATTATGTAACCTGCAAGAAGAAATGAACGCTAACCATCTGAGATGTTGCCCTGCATTTCCTCTTGGACCCTTGTGGGAACGTTATTGGCGGGAGAGATGCATTATTACAGACCTATAGACTTTCTTTTTGTAGCTCTTGTTTCCGTTTTTTGTTCCTCCCTTATATTGTTCTCAGCTACAAATTTGTCTTTCATGTCTGCCATTGGAAATAAAAGAAAAATAAAAAAAACTAAGTAGGATAAGGGCAAGACAAAAATTAGTCAATCAGTGAGGAGGATAATTTTAATATAATACTGTAGTATATTTTTTTGTACAATTATATAATCTGAATTCATGCAGAAATTGCTTAAAGACAATGAAACAATTTAGTCTTTTCTGTTTAGTGAGTCAGCTATTAGTTGTATAAATTTCAGCTAAAATATGTTTCAATTATGTATGCTAAATTAAAGATATAATAATTTTAAAACATTTAATAAATTATATGCATTTTATAATTCATTTTAGAAAAAAAAATATGATTTAAATAAATAAAATCCTAATACTTCTATATTTTTATTATGTGTTATTGAATTATTATTAACCCATTTTCGGCCAATGGTACATAAACGCACCATTTTAATAAATAATTTTTTATTAACACCGTGGCGAATATTTTTCAATAATTTTATTTTTCTGTTGTTTTAAAGTGTTCTTAAGACATCTATAAAATATTTGTGATTCAATTGGAGTAAATAATTTCTGTTGAGAAATTTTCAAAACACGCTAATTTTTGAACTTCAAACGTCACTGAAAAAGTCAATTTTTTTAAACTGTATAATTATTTCACTTGAGATTTTTTATAATGAGTTAAAGCTGTAAGCTCTGAAAATAAAATTAAAATGAAGCAAATTTCATAAAAAACTTAAAATTTTTTCATTCAAATTTAATGGTGCGTTAACGCACCATTGGCCGAATCCATGAGAAATAGACGAAATTGGAAAACCCACTTTTTATGCAAGGTTTCTGAGTTTTATTGAAGTTTTGTTGCATATTCAGAGTTTTATTAGTTTTATTGTTCAGTTTTTATTTTTATCAGAGTTTTATTGTGCTGAGACTAAGTGTTCGGCAAAATATACCATAAGGAACAAGCGCTGTTCTGAAGTTACTTAGCATTGTTTAAATACCTGAGATGGAAAAATATAAGTTTTGATAACTTTTTCTTTTCCTATAGTTTATTTGTTTTTGTGAAAGAAAAGGGTTTCTTTGCATCTGGCACAGCTCACGAAAATCTCATAGGTGGTTGTATATTGGATGACTACACAAATATGAAGAAAAAAAAAGAAAACATCGTGGTCCCTACGATATGGCATTCAGCAAGAATACATAAACATGTGCAATTAAATGATTCGACAATGCTGTGGTTACAAATGTTACTAATAGCGGTACCATTTTGCCCCTTGTAAATGCTAAATGATGCAGTCGCAAAGAAAGTAAAGAAGTTTTTTTATTATATATATATATATATATATATATAATCGCTGTTGAACTGCTAGCCTAATTTTAGGGTTTACGACTTCTAATATTCAACTCCGTAGCCTTGTAATTTTGAACCCAACTCGGAAGACAAATGAATTCCTGCATCAAATATTGGGAGAAATTTTCCTTTGTGAAGGACTTTTTGATCGAACTAACCCGCATTTGCGTTACATGGAGAGGAAAACCATGAGAACCTCCCACGGTTAGCCGAACAGCAAAGGGACTCTAACCCATGATCCATCTACCACTGAGGATATTTTGTCAGCACAGACGGATGAGGATTCGCATCAACCAGCCATCACCAGGATTCGAACCGGATTCGCCTCTTTGGAAGGCCATTGCTCTATCCCTTGAGCCATCACGGCTCAAGAAAAGAAGTTGTGATTTCACAACTCAATGTTATTTTGGATTGCAATAAGCATGTGGGCGGTGTAGACCTACTTGAGAATGCCATAGCTAAATACCGCATTAAGATTCAAGGTAAGAAACGGTGGTGGTCATTATTTACAAACATCATTGATAGTGTTATAGTAAATTTCTGGAAGCTCGTAGAATTTTAACTAGCTCAAAAGTATCACTTATAGACTATAGAACTTATATAGCTATTGCCCAATTATAATCTGAATCCAAGAACAATCCATCTGGGGAAAGTTCATTACAAGTTACCCATTCAAAGAAAGGTTGCCCATCAAACGCAGCTCTACTAATAGAAGTATGGACTGATAGAATCGGACATACAATAAATTGGCATGGAGAAAAAAAAGCCAGCAGATGATGTAAAGTGTACAAAAACCACATGATTAATTTATGCATCAAATGCAAAGTCCATTTGCCTTAAAAATGCTTCTATTGTTTCCATTAAAAATATAAGTGTTGAACTAAACGAATTGCTCATTGATTCGGCCAATGGTGCGTACATGCACCATTTCGTTTCTTAAATAAAATATTATTTTTCATGCAAGAAACTTATTTTTTATCTTAATGAATGTAATTAAAACATATTTCAATGAAAATAATACCACATTTTAAAAAATTTCTATCCTTTGCCTGAAATGGGTTAAGCAAAGTTTCAGAAATGATATAAATATTTTTAAAAATTTCTTTTACTTTTAGGCTGGCACTGTTTCTGATGGTGAAATAGCTAGTGGTAAAGTTTCAACTTCAAGTAGTTTGATGGCTTTAGATCGTTTAAGTGATACTTCCCATCGTAGTAGTTGCGCTTCTGAGCGTCCTATTGACGTTGGTAGAGTTGGGAGTTGGGCAGCTGGATTTAATTTTCTACTTGAAGATCCTGCAGGATTGCACACTTTTAGTGTAATATTTTAGAACTCTTTTAATCTCTAGGAACTTTTTGGTTATTAAATGAAGTTTTTTTTTTTTGAATAATTAGATTTTTGAAATTACAAATGCCTTTTTATTAGTTAATACCATTTTTATATTTTTGTGAGTAGGTTCAAGTTGTTAGTAAATTGCTTTATTCTTTTTTTTTTTCTTTTTTTTTTTGTATTACAAAGAGACTTTGCTATTGACTACTGGCTATTACTAATTCAGCTTTTAAGATTTCACTATACTTCCTGTCATAGACATGTCATAAAAAATCTTCAACTTTCTCATAAAAAAGCTTATAACGATAAATGTTTGCACAAATAACATTTTCATATCGAAATATTCCTTAAGCAATTCTGGAAAATTTGCAGATTTTTATGTTTTTTCATTTAATAGTATTTTATTATGAGAGAAGAAACATGTAGCACTACAATTTTTGATTATTTTCCTTATATAAAAGAAATTTAATTTTTAATTTGTATGTTGTTTTGTAATTGGTATTTTGAATTAAAGCAATATTTAGTGAAAAGGATTGGTGAGAAGGTCTAAATATTATGAATTTATCCGCTGATGAAAGTAATTATTTATTAATAGTTATCTATTTTTTGAAATATTTCTATATAGTTTAATTCAGGGCTGATTGTGCTCCAGAAAAAATCCGGATTTCCAGATTTTTCGCTAACAGTCATTTGGAAGTTTCCGGAGATCAAAGGTTCAGACGTTAAAAAAAATCATTGATCACAAAAGTTTCCGGAAATCAAATCTTCAAAGGTGGAACTTAAAAACAGTTTATTTTATTTGTTTGTAAGGGAGAGCCAGAGAGATACTTTGTAAGCTTATATTCAAGATTAATATTCATTTTTTATCAGTGAATAGTTATTATAATCATAAACTCAGGAAAGAAAGACATATTTGTAAATTTCAATTACTTCTCCAGGTCATCATAGGTATGTGTGAAATTTTAAATATATTTTATGTAAACTAAGAAGTATTGAGAAAAAGGAAAAAAACCTTGCTTAAATTTTTTTTCTAATTTTTCGGTTTAAACTTTTTTTTTTTTTTACTCAAGAAATTTTCCGGAATTTTGACTTGGGCTCACAATCACCCCTGTTAATTGAGTACGGTTTTATTTCTTTCTTTTTTTAAAAAGTTGAATGGCATTATAATTGAAACATAGAGTTTTTCAACAATTTAGTTTTCTTTTTTGAATCTTGGATGAAATCTTCTATTAAATTATCTTTATTTTTTAGGAATTTTTAAAAAAAGAATTCAGTCAAGAAAATATAACTTTCTGGATAGCTTGCGAAAGATATCGTCAGTTAAAAGATGAATTACTGGTAATTTTTTTTCATGAATTACTATCTTATCCTTTTTATGTTGCTCCAATGTTTAGAGCTGAGTCTTTTTTTTAAAGCTCTTGTTATTATTGTTGTGTACATTTACAGTAGAAATGTTATTTCAGACTGTTAACTTATTAAAGTAGTGAGAAAAAAAATTTATTTTTACTTAAAAGTTTTCATACAGTTTGTCAGTTAAATTTTATTTTATTTATTTATTTTGTGAAACAATATTCAAAACTCACAAGCTTTTATACTGTGAATTTCTCATTTAGTTCAGTTTTATATTATAACTAATTTAAACTCATTTATCAACATGAAACTTTTTAATAATTACCGCATATCCTGGTGTTTAAGTTGACCACCCTATTTTCAATTTCAAGTTTCTGGTATGTGGTCTACAAGTCTACCATTATTGATTTTTCCATTATTTTTCTTATAGAAGTTATTCATCAAATGATATTAGAGGCTTGGTGAAATAGGGTCTCAAATGTTATTGTATAATTTTTTTAAAAAATGTGGAAGTTCCAATTCTTTGAATGGGGGCGATGATTTTTTGTCGGACTCAGTAGAAGAGGATAAAGTAGAATCCATTGCATAGTGGGATATGTATGATGACACATCTAATATTATTGAATCCAATACAGATGATGTTCTTGAATCTTAAAATTTATAGCTTTATGGTACAGTATAGGATCTCAAGTCCGGCACTCACAGGACCGACGAAAATGCGTATTTCGAAATTTGCCGAATTTCAGATCTCTTTCGGAAATTCCAATCTTGCACCCAATTCAATTATATCGTTAATTTCAGAAAAACCAATAAATTTAGATAAGTTTTAATCGGAGATTATGATGGGGTGAATTTAAAACTGTCCCATCTTAAAAATTTTAATAATTAAAATAATAATCTATATAATATAATCAAGAAGAAATAATCGTTTCTTCTTTGGAGCAAGATTATTGTTCTTGTTTTTTCTTTTAGATAATATTTTGTTTTAATGAAAGACCCTCACCTAAGGGGAAAAGAAAGCTAACAAGGAACTACAAAAAAGTAACAATGCTAAGAGATTAACAATGAATATCTGCAAAAAACAAGCTAATAACAATAAAAAAACTAACTATTAGCAAAAAAAATTAACAGTTAATAACTAATAAAAAAAGCCGCAAAATAAAAAATAAATAAATTGAATTAAAAAAACCGCAAAAGAGATAGAATTGATTTGTACCCCATGATGTGGTACTTTCAATGTTAACTGGGTGTGACCAATTTATGGTCAAACAAGAGAGGGAAATGTGGAGACAAACCAGTAGAGCACAAGCACAGCTGTCAAGATTGATTGATCAGTTTCTTCCAACTTGCATTTATTTATTTTGTTCATTGGAAATGCAGTTGTTTTTACTTTTCCCTTTCACTTTATTTCAAACTACTTTAGGAATAGATGTTTCGTTTGACATGGATTTATTATTTTTTTTTCATGCTTTTTTTTTTATTTTTTAAAGATAAAATGAAGTTACTTATTTCAACAGAATAAAATTCCAAATGAAAAGAGAATATAACTGATTTTTTTTCCCTCTTATCAATAAATATTTTTAAAAAATTTTTAAGGTTGGATTAAGTGCCGAATTAGGGATGTTTCTTTCTCTCTCTCTGTGTTCTATGTCCTTTCTTCTGTGTGAATGTGACCTGCCCTATAAACAGGTTTGTGGTTGTGTGACGTGGGCGACGCTGCTTCACCGTGGCTTGGCCATAGGCCCACTGGGTAACGCGAAGAGAGTAGCAGTTCTGGCATTTCTGAGGCTAATGGGAAATAGACCCCAGCGTCCGCCATTAACCAAAGAAAATTTTTTTTTTTTTGTGTGTGAATTTCTTTTGTTCTGTCAACAGTAATGAAATTGAATATTAAATACAATTTTTTTAGAAAATAAATTCACAGCTACATTATATTAATGCAATTGTTTAGAATTTTTTGCTAATATTGTTGTTAAAAAATAGTAATTTTTAAGTGCTATCACAAGCTAAGCAATGAAATATTGTGATTTTTCATTAGTTTTTGAATTTAGACATTTTTAGCCTTAATTTATGCATTTTTTGGTTCATGGAGGCAACAGAAGATATTAATTTAGAGTTATAAGATTTTGCTCTGATAGTAGTTGACAAGTTTCCTGCACTACCGCTAGAAGATTTGAGATACTTAAACTTTTATTTTTTTATCCAATCTAATATACAGTGAAACATTTCATACCTAGAATTATCAGGATTATCCAACAACTTATTTGGTAAAAGAAAATCCCTTTTATGAAATTTTTTAACAACAAATACAAATTGTTTGCATTGTGAAAAAAGCATTTGATCAAATTGCATGTTTTATTTTTAAAAATTTTCTTTTTAGATGTCTGAGATGGCCGAAGATATATACAACAAGCATTTATGTATAGGAGCTCAAGAGCCTGTTAATGTAGATAGTCATGCTCGGCAAGTTGCACAAGAAAATTTAAAGGCACCTACTCCTGATTTATTTTTACCAGCTCAAAAACAAGTATAACTGTTTTTTTATTAATCTATTTTTATGTTTCTCTCAACCAATAACAAATAATAATGCTTTATGTGCAATGAGAAAGAAGGGGGAAAAAGTACTCTTAATAACTTTTGTTCTAATGAGTAAATAATTATCATTTACTAAGTGCCATTCTAAAAGCTAGTTACAACTCTGATTTACGATATAAAATTAGTTACAAAGACACACACGCACACAGACTGATATATGCATATATATACATTACTTTTTTTGGGGGGGGGCTGATTAAGATATTTGATTATCAAAATGTGTGAAGTTTGCCACAATCTGAAATATAGGGTCTAATATGCTAGTCAGGAGAGCGCTTGAATACTTGGGGCCTTTAATGTGTGTGAAATTTTCTTTGGCTAAACAAGTTATGTAATTTTGTGCAAAATATTTCCATTTTCCTTAAAATATCCCGAGATATTTTGAAATAAGTCAAAAGAAATTAACAGGTCCAAACTTATGATCACTCTTCTAGCGTAGTACTTATGTAACCATATTAAGCCTAAAGTGTTTTTCTTTTTTTTTTATTCAAGAAAGTACACTTTTGTTTGTTAATTAATAGATAGCACTACTTAATTAGTATTTTTAAGACCAATTCTTTTGACAAGTATGATTGGCATTTATTGTGTGTAAATCTGATCATTAGAACAAACTATATTTAGGATGGAACCTTTTTTTTAGGGGGGGGGATGTTGTAATTTTATGTTTGTCCTATCTGTCTATAATTCATTATTTTCTGTTACTATATGACAATAATTCTGGGAAGCTTCTAAGCTTAAAACTTAAGAAAATAAATAAGGGAACTGCAATTTCAGTTTACGATAATTTAATTATTCCATAGCTTAATAAGAACAGTATTAATCTTAAATTATTAAATATAAAGTAGAGCAAATAAGATATAATATTAAGAAAATACGTTTCAGTTTAATATTTTTCTTAAAAAAAAGAGGAAAACTTTTAGAATTTTGCATTACTTCTGCAGTAAAATTAACTCTAGAAGAGCTTTAAGTTTCCTTAAATTAAAAAATTTGATTCTTTAATTAAATTTGCTTTGAAATACATTTGACTAAAGAACATTTTCTCTTAACAAAATTGAAATCCTAGAAATATGTAAGTTATGTAGTTTTTCAAATTTTTTTTGGTTGGAATTTGTAGTTTGGAGTCAAACATTGACCATTCCAGGGTTATCGGTTGGGCAAAAATGCTAACCATATAGGGTGGAGCAATCGTCTATGTGAAATTTTTTTCTCTTAATCTCAATAGTGATCTAATTTTCAGATCAATATTTTCTAACAGTGATCAAATTATTACCCATCTCATAGTTGTTTTTAAAATGCATACAAATATTTTATTATAATGTTTTTTCTACCCACACTTTTATTTTAAAAATTAACATTTTGTTGTGTTGACCTCTCCCTCATAACCTTTCATCTCACCCTCAAATAAAAAATTAGCACCTTTTGTATATTTATTTAAATAGTAAATCCCCGTATACGAACTGTCTTTGTTAATTAATGTAGTTGCAGAGTAGCTGCACAGTCTTATCAGTTCATTTTAGGCCTATTATCTTCTCTTCATTTTTGAATTCTTAGAGTTTGTTTTATTGATTTTTTAGATTTTCAATTTGATGAAGTTTGATTGTTATCAAAGATTTTTGAAGTCTACTATGTTTAAAGAATGTATGTTAAGAGAGATGCAAGGACAACCTTTACTCTATCAAGGGCAGTTTTGTGATGACTTTGTGTTCTCAAATGAGAAGCAAAAGTCAGGATTAAAAAAGAGAAAGTCTTTGATTCCATGGCATAAATGTGAGTCTCTCTTTACTACATTCATTCAATTGTTTGTAGGTGACATCTACAATTTTATGTAAAATAATTTTCGATTTTATCTTCATTTGGAGTATTTATTGCTGCCAATTGTTTTTATTATGAGCATTCATATGACAAAAAAGCTATTTAACAACATTTTATTATATTTTATTTTTAATCAAATATTGTTAAAGAATTACTTGAAATTTTTTGAAAATCTAAATTAACAGTAATTTTTAGTTAAGTGGAGCTATAAAAGCCTCATGAAATGTTACTCTAAGCAAGTTTTTATTAATTTAAAGTGAAATACAGTTTAATTTGTAATGATTGACTTAAAAATAATCCAGGAAAAGAGAATACAAGCAAGTATGTATACAGTCCAACATTTCAGTCTTGTGCAAAATATATTAATCAGTGGTTGCAAACTAAAGCCGTAATTTTTAAACAAAATGAACCTTTATAAAACTTTTTTCAAGACTTTTGCGCATTATCAATCCTCTATCTGATCTTTAATATGTCTATTTAAATTATTTGCATGCCGTGGAAAAAATTCTTTTACTTTTAATTTATTAAAATATTACTACTTTATCTTTTTTTTATCACTAGAAAAATTATTTTTAGAATCTAAGAAACTTCTCTGGTAGTTAGAGGGGATGAGTATGTTATACTGCATAAGAAAAGACGTACCAATCTACAATTAGGAAATATTTCACAAAGCCACATTTTTTCAAAAAATTTTATATGTAATATTTGGACATTTTAAATAATATTAGATAAAATTTTTGCTTAAATATTGTGTAAAACATATTTATTTGAGGACAGTTTTGGACAGAAACTTTTTAAAACTTGTTCCATCTCTCTTTGATGCCTAGTCGGGAGGAGATTTTTTGGATAAATAGTCAATATTAAAAGCAAATAAACTGAAAAGAACTTAAACTTGTAATACCTTTCAAAAAAATTTTAATTTTGAAACAATATTTTTATTCTGTATTACTCCCAGTGATTTTTTCTACATGCCTTTGTAGTTTAAGTTTCTAAGCAAATTAAAATATAATATAAAGAAAAAAAAGTGAAAAAATTTCAGAAATTTCAACTCTGTAATTGCATTCCTGCAGCCTGTAAAGCAGCTTCTATGCTATTTTTCCTAACAAGTCTAGCAGTTACTAATTCTGAAATTAATTTTTTATTGTTAATTCAATTATACTACGTGTACATTTTTCTATACATCTGCCAAGTAGCTATGTACTGCCAAGTTTCTAAGTCTTATAGTTTTTGCCCCACAAAACAAAATTTAACATTTATCTGAACACCCAAAACAGCAGCAGCCCTTATAATTTTTTAATATAGAGTGACATTTCGTTTCATTTGATTAAATGTTTCATTACATTCAATTTGGGCTCAACAACCTGAATTGAATTGGTCATTAAATTGATATAATTTTTAAAGAGAACAACACATCATCACATTATATATGCCAGTTTTGCATACCAATCTATATTTTTGTTTAATTCCTCTTTACAATTTTAATTTTGTTTTCTGATAGAAATATTTTACTATATTTTATTGTTTTTGAGAGGCTGTTTTTTTTTTTTTTTTCAAATTTGGGAGGGGGTGTTCGTATCTATGTTGGGAGGGGGCTGGGCACCTTGGTCTGAATAAAATATATTACTTAAACTTAATTATTATTTTCAAACCTTTTTTTTTTCTTTTGCTAAAAACTTTGTTCAAGACATAGGAGTTTAAATTGGTTACTTTTAAATAAAAGCCTAGTTAAAATAGCTGAATTTCGATGTCATAGTGTTACTTATTTTGATAAAACCATATTTTATTTCTAATATCTTTGTAGTTGTAATTAAAATAAAATAAGGTGTAAAAAATATATGTGACTCAAAATAAATTACTCAAGTGTGATTAGTGTCAAAATCTTGCTTATGTCTTGCTTGTGTTCGGAATTAAAATATTGAATTAATCTTTTTGTAAAAGCCTGCTTTTTTAAGTGGTATAAATGCGGAAAAATTATTAATAAATTTTTTTTTTTCAAACTTTGGTATTCTTCAGAATGTAATAAATTCAAAATATTTTTCTTTAAGTTAAATAGAGCTAATTAAAGTAATTTCGGGAATTGTATTATCATTCATATTTGTTTAACTCAGGTAAATTGATTTGGGACTAGTCTCTTAAAAGGTTGTCCTATAATTTTTTTTAAAATAAAAAATACAATTTTTTTTTGTAGCTAGGAGTGGTGGTGTTAATAGCTATATGTTTATATCTCTTCAATGTAATAAACTATTCTTTATTGTTCCATATATTTTGCTTCCCGAAATTTAGAATAATTTTTTTTTTCATTATCTTTTTTTTTCTTTTTTCAAATTTTGCTGAACACTACATTTTCTCCTCATAAAGCTCAAAGATTTTTGGTATCAATGCTAAACTAACTCGTTCTAATTTCTATTATTATTAAAAACCTTCCGTAACTAGTATACTGTGAATTTTTTTTTTTTAAAATTTCTATTATCCTAATTAGATTTACTATAGCAAGTAGTGTTAAAATTTTCCTATTTTTAAAAAAAAATATTTCATGATTTTTGTTGAAATTTTTTATGTAACTAGTGTTAAATTCTTAGTGTTAATTTTTCTTATCCTTTTAAAAACTGTTTCTCATTACTATTTACTCATTTATATTTAAATTTTAGTGAGCAAAACCAAGTCAAATGAATCTAAATCAAATGGAAGCAGACTATGGGATAGACATAGTGAAATCGGAAAATCTTTGAAAAAGAAGAAAAAAGAAAAGAATTCCCAGAAAATAGATTATTCAAGTTCTACTCAATCAGATATAACTGATAGATCCTCTGTGACTAGTAGTGAACCAGGAGTTGGCTTGATGTATAAAAATGTATCATCTAGAGAGGTTAGTGTTTGATTTTTCCTTTCTATTAGAGCTTTTATATAAAAGATAATGTTAAAAGTTCTTAAAGCCTATATTTTTAAAATAAAACATTTTAAAGATTTTTTGGGGCATTCTTAATTGAATGGTAGTAGTTGCTGTTTGATTGAATAATCTTGGTATAGATATTTTATGACTTAGCCTTCGATCAAGGGTTTGATTAAGTTACTATCAATATTTAGTACAGTTATTAGAATAAATATCCTAATTACATGTTATTTTATTATGTTACAATAGTTTAGTACGCCAACATTCTAGTATATACAACTGAGCATCAATCGAAAGAACAGTTTCAAATTTCGGTCTTATTCATGCAAAACTGAAACGGAGGGATTCAAAACTATTTTTTTTGTAATCACTTGCTTTGAAAAGAGTTAAAATGGAAGTAAAGGAAATCAGATTTACAAATGAAAAATAAGATGTTTGTTAAGTGTTTTTATAAAATAATTGTTTTTGTATTTTTATTTTCAATAATTAAACAAATTAAGGGATTGGATAAATTAAAATTTGACATATTTTCATTTCTTATTATTTAATATTTTCTACACCAAAATTTGTGCTTTAGACAGTGATTTTCAAAACAAAAAGAGTTTTATGTTAAAATAATTCAATAACATAATTCATAGAACACTTGTAATTTTACATGTATGTTTAATTAAAAAATACTTCATATTTATAATAGTTTATAATTATCCTTAGGCCAAAATTTCGGGTTTTTGACAATCGTCAAAAACTATGTCAAAAGACTAATATATTTCTTTAAAGTGCCTAATTATGATTTTTTTTTAAGTGCTTAAAATATTTTTTGAGTGCTTAAAAGGTACTTATTATTTGGTTCAAAATTTGGCTACGCACCCTGTTTAACTTTTGCCTGCCACGGGCATATATATATATATACGCTTTATCGAGCTGATGCGTTAATTGTCCCTGGTGTATTTACATGCCTTTCCAAAGTACACAATGCTCTTTGCCATACGTTGCTATCAGTAAAATTACTCCCACAGCTTTGGAATTCAAACCTTGACCTTGAGAGTATTTTCAAAAAATTTCAGACAAGGGGTGAAGGAAAAGGAAAGGGAAGTTTCTGGAAAGTAAATCACAGATGTGCAGTTATTGCTTGCGTTTCTTTTGAGTAGTACATGCTTTTTTACTTTCGTTTCACTTCCATTTTAACAATTCCTTTAATTTCTTCCATGTGTAATAAAAAAAATTTTTTTGTGCAAATATGTCTGAGAGTGAATTTGATGACTATTTTCCTTCCTCTTCGGGGCTAGAAAATTTGAACTATCACATCACTTAAACTGTTATACTTTAAATTTTGTTTTTCATTTTTTTGTAATAGTAAGCAGTTCTTAGATTGAAAGAAAAGCATGCCTCTTCATTTTCTCTAATACTCACCGAAACTACACACGCCTCTGTGGAAACCGGTGGCATTGAAGGGTGAATTTCGAAATTTGCCTCGGTAGGCAAGGGGTTAATGAAGAACTTTTAAAAAATATTAGACATTTTTTTTTTTTCATTCTAGCTTGTTTAATGTTTAATCATAAAGAGAAAATATTGCAGTCAATTTTAATCTGTAGTTAAGTGTAAAAGGCTTAGTGTTATAAATTAATAAAACTTGATGTTATAGATTTTATTTCTCTTTAATGATCACTTGAAATCCTTGAAATTCTCTATGCATGCCATATTTCTATGTATTGCTTAGTAGTTAAGCATAAATTTTTTTCAGTCTTTTGTAAAATCTACTGAACTTTTTCTTTTCAAGTTGATAACTCTGTAGACATTTACAAAAAAGTCTGCAGATTTGTTCATCATAATTTACAAAATAAATACTATGGTGTTTAGGACTGGGCGATGTTAAGATTTCAGCATTGTGATGCATCGCCACTCAAACATCACGATATTTCGATACATCGCAATGTCACGTTACCACATTTGGTTTTGCCAAATTTTGCATTCTTGCACAAGTTTGCTTTTTATTTATTTGTTGCTACTGTAAAGTAAGACTAAAACTGAAATTTGTAATATATATATTAGATTTTTAGAATTTAAACTTAGTGTGTTTGGGGAAAAAAGAGAATAAGATTTTCCCCAAATAATATTTATAAAAAGTGAAAATCTGCCAAAATGCATCAAACTAAAATTATGCGAATTATATTCATTTTATAGGTATATATAAACAACTAAGTGATTTATAATTGAATGTTGTATTTAATTTCATTAATATTTCTTGTAATATTTTTTTTTTCTATTTTTTTAATTTTTATTTTGATTATTTTCTTCTTTAGGACTAAAATAATTCAATAAACTGTCTTTTTCAATTTAAACAAAACACATCTTATCAACCTTCAGATTTTGCTGGAAAAAACCGGAAGTCTTTAAATTAAAGAAAGAGGGTATTGAATAAATAGTTAACTAGTAAAACGAATAATTCATTAAAATTTTACATGCAGCTTTGGAAAAAATAAGTAACTTATCTTTAAGGATGAATTAAAAAGGGTAAAAGAAAAAGAATAGTATTTCAACCTTGGCCAACAAAAATTATTGTTAATTTTCAACAGTCTTAAAGATGGTTAGGTATCTTAGACAAAAACACATAAAAAATTATTACATTAAGAAATAATTTTTCCAGAAAATAAAATTAGAAGAAATTGGTGCAATTTTTTCGACTTTTATATTGTAATAAATTTGTCTTGACATGAATATTTTAGCAATTAATATTTGATATTTGTGGATAGAGTGCACTGTAAGAAAAAAAAAATTACTTTTGACTTAGTAATCGAATTTCAAAAAGTCTGATTTTTTAAAATTTATTTTTCAGAAACTATTCAACTAATTTCTTTTAATTTTTTTTATTTAAAAAAAAGTTTTTATTCTTTAAAAAAAATTATGAACATTACAATTCAAACTTTTTTTGACTATTAGTAATAAAAAACTGAATTAAAATCATTTTTGCATAAAATTATCTTTGGATAAACGAATATTTTAATTTTGTGCTAAATTTTTTCAATTTGAGTAAAAAGTTCTCGAGGTATGACGAAATACGCAAAAAGTAGCATTAGCATCAAAAGATCCTAATTTTCGATCACTCTCTTGACCTATTTCCTATTAGGACTATATTTCTCAGATTACGGCTGAGCCTTATATTTTGAGGGTCAGGAATCATCCGTCAAAAAATTCAGATAAGTACGTTTTTATGCCTCACTTCGTAATTTAAAATATTGTCTGCATAAAATAATTAGCATATTTGAGGTCTCTCCCTCAAACCACTAAAGATTAAGTCCTAATACGTGAAAATCAGATCAATAGACCAAAAGTATTAGCCTGTCGCAAAGTATGTCAGCCAACTGTAAAAATAAAATAGATACAATTATAAAAATAAAATTTAAAATGCGCATTGAGCCAACAATTTAAAAATCTTAATAAATATAGATAACAAATATACAATACAAAAATAAAAAACGTAATAGAAAAAGATGATAAAAAAATGATGGATTAAGAAAAATAGAAAACTTAGAACAGCCGATGCGTATAACCTCTTGGCTTTTCATTCTCCAGAATTTCTTGAATATCCTTCAATAATTTATTGAAGGCAGTAGAAATATTGAAGGAATATTTATATTTTTCAATATTTTTGAGGAAATAGCGAAAATCTAGTGTAAGAACAAAATTTATCCTGGAAAAGAATACAATGGAAATTATTATGGCTTCAATATAAAACTCAATTATTTAAAATTTTATTTTCAAAATTATTGCTAACCTAATGTATTATGCTGCAAAACTATATTTTGTGAAAATGAAATTTAAATACACACTCATAAAAATCGTTATAAATATGAAAGATCGAGAAAGATCGTAAAGCAATCAAGTCTAAATAGAAAATGCTAAAGAAATAAAGACAAAATGACTGTCTTAAAAAGAAAATTTGTATTTGATAAGTTGTCGGTTTAAAAACTCATTTGCCAAAGTCAAAAATATTGAATTTTTTTATATTTTCTAACAATAATAATAATCATTTTTTAATAATTGAAAACGTGGTCAATTTGCAAAATTTTATACAGCTTTATACAAAATTATTAATGAAAGCATTGTACCCATATTGAAGGAATGCAATTCTTCAGATTCAACAGAGAAAAGTAAATAGGTAAAAAAATAAATAAACAAAAAGTCTTATCGGAACAGATCAAAAACGATCTTTTTTTCAACAAGACAAAAATTATCTCAAAGTATTATCAAATAACAAAACATAAATAATCCTCAGAGAATCACTTTCTTTTCTTGGATTTGCACGAATTGAAGAAAGCGCTTTTTCATCTTTCATTGGCGATGAGTTAGTTTCACTCCTAGTCACATTGGAATTCATCGTGTCAGCACATCGTTACTTGATAATTCGCGCAGGAAGAAACACATGGGAAAAGATCGTCACGGCAATCAACGTCGCCTCATGATGGGGGGGGGGAATACTCTTTGCGCGGGCTTGCGACCATCCATGTTGAATCTGAAGAATCACTTTTTGTGGCATTGGGAAACAGTACTCATCGTGCATACATCGGAATTTCCGATGCTTCGTAAAAGGCACCAACCTAAACATTGGATCAGCGATGATTACACAACATCAATGTTTACCGATGAATCAATGTATCACCCAGTCCTAATGGTGTTTGTAAGATTTGAAAATAATTGGTGTTATGTAACTGCAAATTCAATTGGATTTTGCAGTTTTCTCTCTGTCTTCTGGTACAATAAAAAAATCATTCTAGTTTTTACATAATTTAGAAAACTAAATAGAATTGGGAAACTTCCTGATAACTACTTATTAAAATAGATTTTTTTTATTGTTTAGATTTTAAATAAGTAATATTACTAAATAATAAAGTGAAACTCAAATCTGAAGTAAATTAAAATATTTAAATTCAATATTAATTTTTTTATTAATATAAGCTTTTTTTAAATGCAGTTTAGGATTATGGAATGAAAATGAATTAATGATTTTTGTTTATAAATTTAAGAATATAATAAACATAATAGAATGCTATTATATTCAAGTAAATTTATTGTCTATCAAAATGTAAAATATTGCAGTAATTTGAATTTGCAGTTATGCCTTAACCATCTATGGGCTGTTGAACCACTAAGTTAAGTTAATTTCAGTAGTATAACATAAATTTTGTATTTGATTTCACTTTGTCAGATATAAAAAAATTCTGAAATTCCCTATTATTTCCCATCTTTAATACAATAAGCTATAGTTTGGGTGAGATATTTCTTAAAATCTACTGAATTTTTCTCTTTTGTAATATTTTAAGTTGAAACTTTTATTACAGTCATTTAATTCTGCTGAACTGGCTCTATTCCCAAGTCATTGCACAACTGATAGCCATTACTGCAGAGTTATCCTTCCTGATTTATCAACCACTGTAGTTAGAACACAATCAGGTGAAACCGTAGGTGAAATGCTGTTGAAGCTCTTAGAAAGGAAAAGCCTGACTTATAATGCTGTTAAGGCATACAGTGTAGCCTCTCATCAGGTAAAAACTTGTTTCAGAATATTACTGATAATAATATGTGTTACAGTTAAATAATATGATGGTGCGAATAAAGTAAAATTATTTTATATTATTAAAATTGATAGATGGGTTGAAATATTTTTGATAAGTGCTTATATTTGGATGTGTATTTGGATATAGTCATTATTAAAAATAGATAATGATTGAATTTTATAATAAACAAATTAAGTCTGAAAATTGTAATAAAGGGTAATTAAATTAAGGGGAGCGTGATCGTTAAGGAAAGTGGTTGTACAATGCTATTGTGGGATAACCCAATAGGTTCAAAGGGTCACAAAGTGTGAGGTTTGAACAAATTGGTATCACCAAAATTTGGAAAAAGGGTAAAACAAAATAAATTAAAAGATAAATAAGACAAAGTCATGCTATATCCAGATATAAATATGTACTTTAATATGGTAAGCTGATGTTTCCAATATAATAATAGAAAGCATGCTTATAACAATAACTAAAAGTACTCACCACATACAGGAGGAAAAGGGTAACAGCAATTAGCAAAATCACCAAATGAAACCATGAAAACACAAACTTGTTTAAAATCAAAACGTTTTATTATGAAAGAATTCATGACTGAATTACTATGACATATTTTTAGGCGCATGTTGTAATACATGAAGGACCTTATTAAGAAATGGGTGACAAGAGAAATGACGTCATGCATAAAAAAAATAAGAGTAAGCAATACATTTAACTTTTGAAAAATATATTTATGGAAAGAAAGCTTAAATTTAAGAGGGTCTTTATAATGTTATTAAAATTAGAGGTATAAAATGTAGATGTTTGATTTATAGAAATTGATTACAGTTAAGGTTTAATTTAAAATAAATGTTAAGAAAAAAGAATCTAAAAAAAAAGATCCCCTCTATACTGACCAAAGTCTGCATCACAAAGAATTAAAAAAGGTAACCAGCAAGAAGCAAGCACAAATAAAGAACCATTTTAAAAATGTTTTAAAAACTCGTTAACTCGTCAACTTTCAATATTTTTCCAATGCTTTGTTCAGACTAGTTCTGTTTTCAGATACAAACAACATAGTGGCGTCAGAACAATGTTTGCAATTCCGACTAAATAACTTCTGGTGGAATATTTTCAAGAAAATGTCAGAATTGTAGTCTGTGTATCACTGAGGAAATATCTAATACCATTAATCTATATCTGTCGTTAGAAATTGCTGTTTCATCTATCAGGGGTGATTGTGCTCCGGAAAAAATCCGGATTTCCGGAATTTTCGCTAGCAGTGATCTGGAAGTTTCCGGAGATCGAAGGTCCAGACGTTTCAAAATATCATTCATCACAGAAGTTTCCGGAAATCAAATTTTCAAAGGTGGAACTTAAAAACACAGTTTATTTTATTTGTTTGTAAGGGAGAGCCAGAGAGATACTTTATAAGCTTATATTCATGATTAATATTCATTTTTTATCAGTAAATAGTTGTTATAATCATAAACTCAAGAAAGAAAGACATATTTGCAAATTTTAATTACCTCTCCAGGTCATCATAGCTATGTGTAAATGGTGTAGGTATGTGTGAAATTTTAAATATATTTTAAGTAAACTAAGAAATATAGGAAAAAACCTTGTTTAAATTTTTTTTCAATTTAAGCTGTTTTTTGTTTTTTTTTTAACTCAAGAAATTTTCCGGAATTTTGACTTGGGCTCACAATCACCCCTGATCTATGACACTGCTTACATTTCTGACAAATGTAAAATTATTTGTAATCTGTTTTGTATGAAATTTATGTCTTGTTAAATGTGGTTTCATAAGAGATTTGACTCTTATATCTTGAATATTAATTTTCTAGAAGACTTCAGTATTTTATTATCTAGCCTATGCAATGGAATATATGTGCAAAAATACCGTTCAACTCAGATAACTTAACCGCAAAATAAAGAAGAACTTATAAGAAATGAAGATTTGTCTACAAATAAAATTTTTTGAAACTACTAATAAAAAATTTATGTTTATTAAGTTTAATTTATTTTTCTAATTAGTGTACTTCTTCAGCTCCATTTGCTGTATATAATTTATGTGTTGATGCAATAAATTTGCCTTTTTTATATTGTCAAAGAAGAATTCTAATGTTTTATGAAAGTTTTATCCACAAACATCTTTCACTTAAAAAAAAATTTTTTTAAAAACTACAACAATATTAAAAAAACCTTTTTTAGCTGATTAGATAAAATGAAGAAGATTTGTTTGACTAAATAACTAACTCCTGATATTATATTAATATGCACTTAACTGGTCTAGTGTCTTGAATAAAAGTCTTTAGAAAAGCTGTAATTGACAAGAACTTTGTTTTTTTTTTTCTGTTCAAAACTGGCTGTAATAAATAATTTTATTCTAGCTGCTATACAGGATTATTTACCTTTAAGCTCTTTGTCTTAAATATGTTTAAAACATTGAATGAAAAATGTCTTTTAATTTGTTTTTTCAAAAATTACTTTATTTCAGAATTTAAAAAATAAAAAAAAAGTGCAGGAATGTTTTGAGACAGAAAAACAAACTTATTTTTATGCAGTAAAAGTGTCTAACCAGCAGTTGTTTTCTCCTTATTCTTATAGCAAGAGATGGCACCACTAAAAACACTTTTTGTTCATTTTCTATCTAGAAAAGGATGCAATGTTGACTCTTTAGGAAGCATGCAAATATGTGTAAAAAAACAATTTTGAAACTATTTTTACAAAAAATAATTTATGAAATTTAATTTTTATTTGCTTTGTAATTATTGTTTTGACAATCATGTATTTTAAAGATTTTTATTTTATATGTTCATTCTAGCCATTAGATCACCGCACAAATGTGACATCATTGAGTTGTAGGGAAATAAGAGTGGAACAAGTGGTTTTATTCTGTGTAGAATTGCCCAATAAGAAAACTATAGGAGTAAAAGCAAAAAATAACAAAATATGTGGTGATATTCTGAAACCAGTATTAAATAAGTATGGATATAAAATTGATCAAGTCAAAATGACAGTGGTAAGGAAAAATGCTTTGTTGTTTCAATAGCTTGTCTTAAATTCCTTATTTTAATGGGTTTTTTTTCCTGCTGTATAATCCTTATTTAACAAAGCTTAGTAGGCTAGACAAAAATTTTGTTAAAAATTATATGTTGTGTGAATTACAAGACACACTCATATTAAAAAATAGAATTGGACTTCTTAAAAATTATATACTTAATTATATAATGTATTATTATATAAGAAATAATTATAAATGCTTAATTATATACTAAAAATTATATACTAATATATGAGCAATTATTTTTTTGAAAAATAAAATAAAAAATAGTGGCATGCAATTACCTATGCTAGTCTATTTACACAAACCCACTGATTTGCAGTTCCCTGTTGATTCTGTTGCTTTTGGTAGGATTGTTCTGAATACATGACTTATTTTAAGTGCAAATCAGATGGGTAGAATTCATTAATATTTTATCTTTTACTGGACTGTCCTAAAAAATCTTGTGTGTCAGTATTAGTAACACAGTATAACATTTTACAATCAATGTTTTTACATAAGGTGCTATTTAAATTCATGCAAAATTTGTACCAACTATAATAAATGGAAAAGTACAAAGCTGAAAATCATTATGTTATAATTATTTTTACATAAACATGTTGGTTAACTATCAGAAAAAATGTGTACATTGTCCTGCAAACATACTTTTTAGCATCAAAATTTGGATATTTTTCAAATTAATTGTTAGTGTAAAAGAAACCTTTTCCTGCTTACTATAGTTGTGACAAATTTTCTATGGCTGCTCATAGCACAGTTTTTAAATGTTTTGATGGGTACATTTTTCTACATTTACTAGTTTTATCAATTAAAATTTCCAAGGTAGTTGCATTAGGTAAAAATCCAGTTTCTACAGCAATAAAAAGTAGTGAGTTGAAACATTTTCCAAGACCACTCTTGATACTAAGTTTTTGGTATCCTAAGTAGGTTTTCCTTTTCTAGATTAGCATGTGTTTCACAATCTTAAAGTGCTTTAGTCATCTTTTTTTATACCAGACGTAGTTTTCTATAGCACTATTTACTCACCTAATCTAGATAAATAATTCTAATTACCTTGCACGGTATAACTAATTCTAACTCTTGTGCCAGAGAGTTGCATTCAACTCAACTTCCTTTTACTGCTTTTTCAGGTTTGCCAATCCACAGGGAGAATAGGGTGAATACAGGGAATTCAAAAATCACCTAAAATAACTCAGAAAATGCAAGGAATTTTGATTTTTCTTTATAAACTGGGAAAATACAAGGAATTTTGTTTCTTATTTTCGTCTTTTAAAAATAGTAGCCACTCAAAATTCAATCTATGGGATATTTAAGTATGATATTTAACTGTATTAAACTAGTTCATTTACTATAGCATTATTTGTTTTGAATATGTTCAGCCGTTCCTTTTTCCGTTTAGTTTTTATAACTAGTATATTTAGCCGAATACCAGGGGTCTGCCTAGAAGAAATTTGGGACAGTTAACAAACCCTTCACAAAATATCTTTTCATAAAAACGAAATGGCCAAAATTGGTCTTCTTGGCAAAAAGATATTTTGCCAAATTATTATCTGGTTTACTTACTAGTTCAAATAAACGTTTAAGTTCATTGTTTGCACCTACAAAATTACAGCCATTTTCTGTAAAAAGATTAGAAACTTAACCTCTTCGGGACATAAATCGTTTTAAAGCAGCTATGAATGAATCTGATGTCAAATCTGAAACTATTTAAAAGTGAACTGCACGAGTTACAAAGGAAATGAAAATTGCAAAATAAATTTTTTGCAATGGACCTTTTCTTTGAAATTTGTTTTTTATTTGAAAGGGGCCACTGAAATCAATTCCTGTAATATTAAATTGGAAGAATGGAATACATCTTTCTGTGGGTAAATTTCCCATTTTTTGCACTGAAAAGTGAGGATTAAATTTTGCACAATTCTGAACAATACTTCACGTTAAGCTTCTGCCTCCAGTAGGCCAATATTTTGGTCTAGTTAAATGCAAAAGTGTTTATGTGCCTACATGACAGTTTCTTTCATGTATATCTGGCATAATAAATTTAGTAATGGTATGATTTTTAGGTTAAATCAAAGGAAATTTTTTATCATAAGATAATTCTCAATTCCTAAGTCTACCTCCAACATGAATAACACTCTGATTTTCATCAATAAATGGAGATAACCTTTACCTGTTGAGAGATGCTCAACCTTTCATAAACTTGATTTAGGCTTTCCTTTTGAAAGGCTTTTCTTTAAGGAAATCAACTTTAACTCATCGGAATTCAATTTTTCTGCCGTTAACTCACTTGATTTCTTACCTTTTTTTTTTTTTTTTTTTTTTTTTTTTTTTTTTTTTTTTTTTTTTTTTTGCAGTTTCCTATAAACCTAAGGATGAAACTAAATACATTGATTAATTTTCTATAATTATTACTTGATTTCAAAAAATTATCAATAAAATCAGATTTAACCACAATTAAGTTCTGGGTGTTAGTGTCTTTTAGTTCCTACAAAAAGTCCATATCTGCTGAAGGATCATCTAAGTGGTTAGATGCCAAGTTTAAGGAAACTGGTTCTTGCAGAAAAGTAGGTCCATACCACCAAAGCTTGTGATCAATAAGCTCATTTGGAAGCATTCCTCTGGAAATTAAATGTGCTGGGTTGCATTTCGATGAAACATGTTGCAATTTACAGTTTCTGCTTAACTGTTATATTTTACCAACTCTATTTACGACAAAAGTCTTTAGCTGATGCGGTGGTGTCTGAATCCAGGCCAAAGAAATCGATGAATCATTTCATCAAGGATAATGTTCAAAGATTGTTCAACTCTTGTTTTGAGTTGAATAGCCAGAAGGCAGCCGCATAATTCTAAGCAAGGTATGAAAATAGTTTTGAATGTAGACACTCGAGACTTGCTAGTAACCAATCTTACAGCAGCTGAATTGTCCGAAAGTATACATTGAATGTATATAACAGCTCCATGCGCAGCTTCAGAAGCATCTGAGAAACACTGTAAAATGACCTTTATTGGGTTATCTACTCCAACGAAGTCCAACGAAGAATTTTTATTTGTTCTATGTCCTTTAAAGAGGAGAATAAATCACTCCAGCTCTTTCTTAGGGATTGGGGCAAAGTATCTTCCCAACTAAGTTTTTGTAACCATAATGATTGCATGAAGATTTTAAACTTGCTAATGAGTAATAGTTTTTCTTAATAAACTATTACTTTCTGTCTGAATCTCGATCCACGGACTACAGTTGGCAGTTTATGACGCAGTAAAAAGTTACACAAAGTTTCGCTGTGATATGCATCGTTTGGATCCAAAAATTAATCGGGATCTGCCGAGTATCCCACTGCTGAACAGTGACAACTTCTATCACTGGAGTATTAAAATCAAGGCTTTGCTGACACTTAAGAAAATTGCAAATGTGCTAACTGAAGAAGCCCCCATTGATCCAAAATTGCGGGAACAATGGACATTAAGCAATGATGACGCAGTAGCGTACATATAACTATCGCTTTCTGACGACCAAAGTCTTCAGTTCGCAAATGAAACCAACGCAAAAATTCTACGGGAAAAAATTCAAACCACATTTACTGGTAAATCCGAAGATCGAAAAATCGATGCAAGTAACGAAGTAAGAAATCTTGAAATGAAATAAAATGAAAATGTGTCAGACTATATTGCAAGATCATGTGGACTTCAAACGAAATGTTCGTCACTGGGACTGGAAATTTCTGAAAGAGAACTTGTATTTTATACTGTTAGAGGGTTACGAGGAAAGTTTTCCAAAATAAGAGAAATCCTGAAAACCCAACGTGAAAAACAAATGGATGAAATTTTAGAAATACTGCGGGAAGAAGAAAACATCTTATCAAAATTACGAAATGATATTCCTAGACGAACAGAAGCATTCCAAGTAGAATATAAATATGAAAATAGAAGCAAGAAGAAATGTTTCATCTGCCATAAAACGAATCACCTAGCTAAAGATTGCTATTTCCGAAACAAGAACGAAGGAAATCAAAACCAAACATCTCAAGAAAAAGACTTCGTAGCTATCCTTTCTAGGGAATGACAACAGTCTCCCCCTGCGAGAAGGATTATACAGATATTGTTGGCGGACTACAAAATATTTATAAAGAAAATATAGATAAGAAGAAAAGGGTTAAAAATAAAGCAAACTAAGTTTAATTATTCTTAAGTTACAAATTGGAATTTGTAACACCATTTGTAGATCGAAAACTTCTTTAGTCAAACTATATTTTAATGCAAAAAGAAAGAAAAACTTTTCAGAGCAAACATTATGAAATAGGTTCGCAATCTCGAAAAATTTTCGGTAAACATCTGTTTTTGAATTAATCCACCTTGATCGAAAAATGATCACGTATGGCTCGTGACAAATGAATTCTCTCTATAGGCCGCATCGGCGCACAGACCGCACATCATGAACGGAAGACTTTTAAACAGATATAGGCCGTGGCCTATCTACCGGAAATTACTGTGCTTTTTTTTCACAATTTTACAAAAACGGGACCTTTTTATCAAAATGTCTGGACAGACCCCTGAATACAACTCACACTAGAGCATATTGATTGTGTTTTTCCTTTTAATATATTGTGTATAATATGTACAGAAAAAACACTGCAAATTTTTTTTCCAGCTTTGAATGACAACCCTGTTTTTTACATTTGCTTGTTGTGTAAAATGCAGCTATAAGAAATGAGATAATAGATTTATATTTGTACTTAAACCACAAATCAAATTATGGATTTTACATAAATGTTATACTTTTCCTAGCATACAAATAAATAATTGTGTTTAATACAAAATCAAAAAAGCTCAATATTTTTTAGACTAATCAGTATTGTGTTAGGCTATAATGTTTGATTAAAAAAGGAAGTATATATTTCCTTTTATTATGATTTTGTTTAAGCTTTTAGAGTTCAAATTCTTTTTTCTATTTTTTTCAACAGGCTTCCTTGCAAAAACCAGTAGTAATTAGTGCACCTATTACTACAATTGATAATCAAAGAATAACTATTGAGATGAAAGAAACATTTTGCATTGTCTGTGGTAAGTCTAGTTTTTGTGTTACAATTTATTTATTCTAAATGTATGTGTAGAGTATGCAAAATTAAAAGCAGATCAACTTAATAATTTTTCATCTACTACTATTGTTTGAGAGTCTATTTTAATTAATTATGCAGAGGATATTTTAAGTTCCAAAATCTGGCACAGAAACATACTTTCTCTTAATAGGCATATCTTCTTTTTGATAGATTTGTCATATTTTGATTCCTAATCCTCAAAATATGTGGTGCAAAAACCATGCTGCATGGCAGTAGACGCTGCAGATTATCATAGCATTTGTATATTAATTAATCTCAGTTTACCTTATTTATACTATTATAGTTTTTGTCTGAGTTAGCGTTATAGACATATTTGAATCTATGAAGGTTGTGCTGCAGATTGACTCAATATGTTCTGCTTTCAGGGGTGGCTAAATATTGGTTAATATGGTCTCAATTGTTTAGCCAGAAAAGCAGCCAAAAGGTTAAACCTCTTCTTATCTCCAGAACTATCGAAAAATTTTGAACTAAATTGTAAAACTTTTTTTTTGTTTCAGAGACAATTTTGTACAAAATGTAATTTTTTCAGATCATTTGTTATTAATATAATAGTCAAAAAAATTTTTTGATTTTTGTGGTTTACTAATTTTGACATACTTTTGCAGTGTGTAACTTTAAATAACTGAATTCAAAGTTTGAACTAAATTGACTCAATGTTATCTGAGTAATGAAATTTCAAAGTTGTATTTTAAACTTTTTAAACTATTTGACCAATTTTGTTAAAGTTTTGTAATTTTAAATTATTAATTTTAAAATAATGTTAAATTTTTTTTAACCATAACAAAAAATTTTTTAATTAAAGTTTTCTAATTTTTATTAAATTATATAGTTTAAAATTTTTGCATCAAACAATTAAAAAAATTTCCACTTTTATAAAAAAAAAAAAAAAAAATTATGTAATTTTTTTGCATTTATTTATTTTGACTAAATGAGTTTTACAATTTATGATTTGCATTAATATTATGAGGTTGAAATTTTGAACTGCTCTCCATTTGAACTATATTTTCCAGATTACCCCGTTATAGTGAGGGTTATAAATCTCAATTAGTCCAAAAAAAATATGTTATTCAGATAAAATGTTCTTTTTTGTGTCTGATTTTAAACTATAAATATTGTTTGCTCATATTAATAAGCATATTTAAGGTCAGCCTATTAAGATATTTATATTCTATGTTATTACATGAAAATGTGATTTTTAGATCACAAATTTATTAATTAGTTTTTTAATTATTATTTTTTTAAAATTTGATAAGTTAATGAAGTTTTCTTCTATTTTGTTCAGTGCAACATGTATATATACATAGTTGCCAATTCTTTTCACATTTCCGACATATATGAAATTGTTTTGGTGGTGTTAAAGTAGAAAATTTGTTACACTGTTCAAATATCTTCATAAATAATGTATTTAATATTTTTAAAATATATAAGAAAAATATAAGTGTCAGTTATTCTTGAAAAAAATAATTAACAAAAAGACTTGTTTTGACCCCTTGCCTAACCCAGATCTACACCTTTCCGAAATGCTTAATGCACTACTATCAGTAAACTACTCCCACAGCTTTGTAAAGCAATAGAAAAACCTTGAGAATGTTTTCGTAGGAGATTTTAGATGGGAGCGGTGGGTGAGAAGGGGACATTTCTGGAAAGTAAATCATAGCAGTGCAGTTATACTTTAAATATTATTGTTTTTATTATTATACTGTTTCACTTTAATTTTTGTAATTCATTATTTCTTTCTTTTACTTCGTAAAAGTAAACAGTTTTTTGATTGAAAATCGTGTCTCTCTTTTTCTCCAATACGCACCAAAACTATGTGCGCCAGGGGTGAAAGTTTTCCGTATTTTGACGGATTTCCGTCTTTTTAAAAAAAAAAAACAAAAGACGGAGCGAGACGGAATAATACTATAAGTAAATTCTAAGTTCGTTTTCTTATTTTATGCGATAGACGGATTCAGTGGGGAAAGTCCCAAACGACGATTCATTGTTCATTCTTTCTTTTCCCCATTTCCGTATGTAGGTTGACGTCAGAGGGGAGAACCGGTTTTCTCTGATGCGCGAAGGTGTGTAGGGGAAAACGTCACTGCAACATGTGACTTCACTTTCCTGTTGAACGTCTATCAGTAAGTTCCGCGCTTGCGCAAATAAATTTCCGTTTTTATTTTTCTTTAGAAGAAATTGAATTTAGAAGAAGTGAAGTGAAATTACGACTCGCTAAATTTGTGGATTGTTTTTCTATCTCACGTGCCTAATAGTTATGGTGTGAGTGGGGGTGAGTTATTAAATCCTATCATGGAATTTATCAATGAGAATGATGCTTTAAAAGTTAACGATGCAGGAATAAAAAATAAGTGGAGATTTGCTTGGTTAGAAGAGAGTGATGTGTAAAATATCAAAATAAGAAATTGGTGTAAGAAAATTGAACAGCCAGGTTATTGCTTTTGTTTTTCATGCAATAAAAAGATAAATTACGGCAGCAACGGAAAGAAAGTTCTTTTTAATCATTCGAAAGATACTGAGCATCAGAAATTGGTACGGGCTCAAAAATATGTTCAAACTTTGCGAGCTGTTGAGTCGGTATTAGCTAAACCTTCAATATTAGATCGTGTTGCGGACCAGAAAGCTGTTGTTACTGCATTTCTATGTGAGAAAATGCTTCCTTTCTCTGTTGCTGCAGATATTGTAAATTTGGCAAAATATTTGGCTGTAGATAAGAGTGCCCTTTCAAGACTAAAATTTTCAAATAAGAAAAAACGATGAAGTAATACACTAATGATTATTTCCAAAATGATGGTAAGGTAAACATCTTTAAAAAAAGAAAGAAAAATCGTAAAATCTTACGAGGAAAAATTGTTTTTTTTTTTTAAAAAATGGCGAGAAAATTTATCGAATTTTGTTCTGGTTTTTTGGTTTTCCGGTTTTCTGATTTCCGGATAACAGGTTCTGTACTGTACAATGCGTGGCTGTAAAGCTGGTGTTGAAACTTTAATTAGAGCTGCTAATCCAAACTTATTGGACATTCATGTGCATATTATAAATATGCATGCATATATGCTGTGCATATTATAAATAATGTAGCTAAAAAGTTTTTTCTCATTTTGAAAATTATTTGGAAGGAGTAGCAAGTGATATATATTATGATATACAAGATTCCCCAAAAGCTAAAGGTTTATTTTCTGAAATTCAAGATCTGTTGAAATATCAAAATTCTCTTCAGATTATAAGGCCCATTGATAGTAGATTTATACAAATTTCTTACGTTTGTGAAAGACTGTATAAACTTACTGATGCTTTGAAAGTTTTTTATTTCAGTTTTTTAACTGATAAGGAAAAAAATGGTGAAGCTTTGAAAGAAATTTTTTCACGTCTCAATCTTTCTGTTGATGAAATAAAAGAGATATCTAGTGTTCCTAGAGATGCTAGCCTCCAAAAATTATCTGCAGTGAATAAAGAAAGGAAAAATAGAATTGTCAATGTGTTGTTTGATAATAGTGCAAAATATGTTTTTATTGCAATTTTACAGAGGAATTCTATTGCAATTCCAAAATTATGTGAAAACATTTCAACAGGAGAAACCTTTAATTCATGTTGTTCATGAAGAAATGTATAATCTTTGCATAAATTTCCTTTCTTTTTTTGTGAAGCCAGAATTCCTTCCAGAAAATGTTAAAGATCTGTATAAATTTGACACAAAAAATTCAAAATTTCACTATAAAGATGTATATTTAAATGTAGGGAAGTTTGCCAGCATCAATGCTCAAAGTCATTTTTCTTGGATTAAGAAATTTGTTGAAAATTTAAAAATGGCATACATCGGCACTTCAGAATATTTAATTAGAAGTTTGCCTTTAGAAAATAAAGCTCTTATGTGGTTTTCTGCTTTAAACCCCTCTTTAAGAAAGAAAAGCACAACCTTCTCTGCTTTTTCAAAATTTGCTGCTGCCTTACCTCAAATTATAAGTGCTTCAGAACAAAGTTTTTTAAGTAATGAACTACGTGAATACAGTATAGATCTCGAAATTGATAGTATTGAAAAGAATTTTATTTTAAGTAAGTGCGAAAGAGTTGATTCAGATTGCTGGAAGCCAATTTTTGAATTAAAAGATCAGAATAACGAACCAAAGTATAAATATTTAACGATATTATGCAAAGCACTTTTGACACCATTCTCTGGTCCTTTAGTTGAGGGAAGTTTCAACATTATGGATGATATTATTACAGAAGATCGAAGCAAACTTACAGTTGAAAATTATGAAGCAATTTCGACCATAAAATATAATTTAAAAAGAAAAAAAATTAAGTCTACTGTTATCAAGCCTTCTTTGAAGATGCGTAAGGCAATCCATAGTGCACACGCAAGTTACAGAAAGCATTTATCTGTTAAAAAGTGTTTATCTAGAAAAGTTGAAAGTACAAAAAATGTGTCAAAAGAAGTGTCTCCTAATTCTGTTTTGGAACATCTGTATCCACCTGGACCTTCTAAAACCAAGCTTGTTAATACATTGACGGTTAAAAATTCGGAAGGCTGCAGGAATAATGCAGCAGTGTTGTCCGAAAAAAGATCCAGTGAACATTTTTCTTCAGACAATGAAAAGCCTCCTAAGATTTTAAAATCTTCTTTTATAACAAATTATTTTCAAAAGAGTTAAATCATTACTCTTTATTATTTACTCTATTTTTTTATGTACTTTTATTTTAAGAATTGTAAATTTTAATTTAATTTTTTAGTAAATTTTAATTTTTAATAAATGTTTTAGTTTGTAAATAAAATTTCATAATTTTTCTTTTTAAAACTGATAAGTATAGATATACTGTAAAGATAGTTGTGTACATGCAATATGTTTTTAATTAACATATCTTAATTTTAATAAGCATTGTAGACTTAATTTTATAGAATATTATTTTGACTATTGAACTATGTTGAGCTTAAAAAATGTTTTTGTTATTTATTAACAAAGTATTAACTTAGCTAAGTATTATTATTTTCCATAAAATGCTATCACTTTATTTTATTAGGAAATTAAATGTTTGAAAAAAATTAAAAGCTGAGAAAATTTTTGCTTAAAATAACTAATTACTTTGAATTTTTTTTTTATACTCCTGAACAATAGTTGGTTTGCTAAAATAAATATGGAATTTTTATAAACCTTATTTGCATTTTGTATATTTTAATTTTTATTGAATATTTTGTTCACAATTTTTATAAAAAGAATTCATATATAGTTTTTTGTTTGCTTAAAATTATTTGTTGGGACACGCCCACTTCTGATTTTGAAATTTTCAGTCTTGACAATTTTTGAAACTTTCCCCCCTGATGTGCGCTTATGTGGAGACTGATGGGGGGAGGAGGTGAATCTTGAAATTTTGCTTTGCAGGCAAAGGGTTAATAAAGCCTTTCTTTTTCTAACCCGATGTTTCCATATTTTATATATATTTTATGATAAATGGCACCTAAGGTATTATGTATATGTATAGCTTAGGCACAAAAATTTAAGTTTATAGTATCAAAAAATGTCAGTTTTTTTTTCTTTTAGATTTGTTCTCCCTATAATTTTCAAGATACAGTAGAGCGCCGATTATCCGAACCATTACTATCCAAACTACGTCTGAATTTGTTTTTTTTTTTTTAACCTCTTGACAATTTTTCTAAATTAAGAAGAATAAATAATATCCCCTACATCCGAAGACCATATTTAATTTACAACCTTTTTAGCAGTTTTCTTATAGCAGCCATACGTGTATGGTGATACAGTTAAACCTACCTACCCTTTTACAACTGAAAATTATCTTCCAAGAATGCAAGCTTCATTTTGATAGTCTACAATGGTTGGAATGCAGAAGGAGTGCTGAAGTTTTATAATTGGGGAATGGGTAGTTGTCACTTATGTTTAATGATTAGTGATTACAGTGCTTGGAATAATAAATCTTGGAATAAAATTCTTAACAGAAAAACTAAAGTTTCTGAACCAGTAGATCTTTCGGATGAAAATGATGAAATTGTTGCTGAAATTTTGAATGAAAATCGGAACTCCACAGACGAAGAGGAAGAAGTAAGTGATCAAGTTCAAGATAGTGGACCTCCTCATATAGAAGCATGCAATTCATTAGATATTGCAATGAATTGGCTAGAACGTCAAAATGATGTTGATCCAGTTCAGTTGATTTATTTAAAAAGAATAAGGGACATATGGCTGCTAAAAAAAACGCATCTTCTTTGAAACGAAATCTTTGCTGGATTTCTTTTGTAATGGAAAATAATGAAAAATGTGATAAAATCAGTAATTGACAAAAAATAATTATAAATAATTGAAATATGATAAAAATAATTCAAAATGAAAAAGAGGTAAAAAAAGTTAATTAAAAATTGAAGAAAAAAAAACTTTAAACACACCAAAGCTATTTTAGATAGTATTACCAGTCCTAAGCCTACAAAAGGTGCGAAGGGAAGTTAGTGCATAAATAATAATCATGTACACTAGATTTTAAACAGTTTTCCAATCATCCGAACCATGTTCTGTCCCGAGCAGTTCGGATAATCGGCGCTCTACTGTATATTAACATCGCTTTAGATTATTTTTTTAACATATTTTTTTAATTGTTGTTTACAAAAATTTTACTCTTAAACATATAGCACATTTATTTTTGCTGCTGTGTAAAAAATAATTCACATTGTGTTGTTGCATTTGCATTAACAACCAGCTCCGTGGCGAAAGTGTCATTATGAAAGACTAAAGTTCAATTCTCAGTGGTGACATGAAGAAGTCCACCTTGCTTCAGATTGATATGTTACAGGCTGTCTAGTAATTAATGTCAGATTGCTGATCATTTGGCCACAATGCTTTAGCTTTTTTGTAATGTCTGATATTGTTATTTTAAAGAGTATTATAATTGCATTATCATAAAGAATAAATATGTATTTTTGTAATTGAATTTCTCAACTTCCTCAGATCCATTTGTTGTTAGCAAAGAGAAGTCAGCACATCCCTTTCCGGACTTAGAAGAATTAACGAACCAAATTTTTGATGACTTGCTAAAAACAAGGCCAGATTTTCAATATGATGACTTAGGGTCTATTGACCAAGAAAAATCAAAAGAAAATGTAAGATTGTTATATTAAATGAAATATGCTTTATTTATGTTTTTTTAATGTTTTAAAAAGACAGTTAAAGTGGTTAATAGATAAAATAAGAACTGTTCATAACTTAGCTTATTTTGATAATTAATTTGCATTAACTGCAAAGACATTAAATTTTTTATTGTTACTTTTTTTAAATGTTAATTGGGATGGAAATTAATTCCTTGAATAAAAATCAAAAATTTTTAATGCATTCTTTTGAATCTTTTGTTTTGTTTTAGCATCAGGCCTTTAGCAGAATTTACAGAGTCAATCTGCAGCACTATCTTTAAAAAATTAAATTTGTGTGTGATTACAACACAGTCAGGCAGAGATTGTAAAAATTAACCTTAATCTAACATAACTTTAGCACAATTTGAGAATATTAAGTAATATAAAGTTATACACAAAAACTTTCTGTTTAAATTTAATTTGAACTTTGTACAGTCATAGTTTGGATTTGCCCAAAAGGGAAAAAAACAGATGCTTATACTAAACCCGATAAAGAAATCAGAAAGTTTTAGCTTGGAAAAGATAATATTAAAATAAAATCTTGTAATTTTAAGAGATGAAATGAAAAGAATTGTAATTTATGATGTTCTGTCTTGTGCTTATTTATAATTTCTTTTAATTATTTAAATGAAATTCACAAATATGCCATCACAGGTACTCTGCAGAGAAATAAAACAATAACCAAATATGTAAACATCAAGTTAGTGTCTTTTTTGGTAATTTTTTTTTTTTTTTGAAAAAAAAGGGGGGGGAACTGTTTATCATATTTTTCAAACATGAAGATAGAAAAATCTTATATTTTTTTGTTTTATCTTTAAATTTTACTTCTTATTTAGATTCTTTCTGTTTGCAATTTTTCTCAATTTGTTCATTTAAATTTAAAAAAATAATATGAGGTGTAAAATAGCCTGCAGATGCTGAGCTAGAAGTTTTCTGCTACCGAGGGAGCATCAGTAACTTGCAGAATGATAAGAGATTTTGTCCAACAGTATTTTTTAAAGATATATCATGAAATCAGGGTTGCCACAGGCGACTAGAATGCAAATATTTGCAACTATTTTCGGCCTGAAACGACTTTGGCAACTTTTTTTTTTTTTGCCTGAAGAGGCTAAAAAAAAAGCAGCTATTTAAAAAAAAAAAAAAAAGGAGACTACCGGGAAACTTTTCTGTACTCATAGCGATGTTTTTTTGTATTAATAGGGTTGACAACCTGAGGCCAGGAAGAGCTTCTAAAAACAATGAATTTTTTTTTTCCATAAAAAATAAAAAATGTTGAAAATCATTGAAATGTTGAATTCTTTCCAATTCTTCACTTTTTAATGCGCTCAATTTGCACAGATTCCATTTTAAGTCTATTTTGTTTCTTGACTGCCTTTTCAACGGTTATTGCTACAAAATTTTGCTTGACTTTAAATTCCCAATTTTTAATAAGATATTACGATGCATGAATTTCGAAATTGAATAATCACTTTTCATAATATATTTGTTAAATCAATTATTGATAAAATGGAAAACTTTTTAGAAAAAGTATATATTTTTTTTTTTGAATGAATTCTAGTAATTAAAAGTATTTAATTTCATGCAAATATCAATTTTTTATCTAAAAATTCAGTGCTTAGAACACTAATTTTTATATAAAAATTATCATATTTGCCACCAACTTTACTAAATGGATCATCGAATATGATAATTAAGTCATTTATAAAATTTTGTTTTAGTATTGAAAAATTCTTATTTAGGCAACTATTTTCATGGTTTTCAGCAACTAATTTCATGCTTTAGGCTACTAAAAGCAACTTTTTTTGTGGCAACCCTATGATACGTTTTAGGGATATGACTTGTGAATTTTTTTGTATGCATTATATGCTTTTTTGATTGTGTCATAATGAATGTTTAAATTTCTGAGAAATTAATAAAATGTTTCATTTTAGCAAAATAAGTGTTCTGTGATATCAGCGTTCGAACTATGAATTCTGATAAGTAATGCTCATCTGTCACTTTATTTCTAATAGAATTCTTTCTAAGGTTCATTGTAGAATTCATTTAACTACCTTTTTAGTGTTATTTCAGGCTACAAGATTTAAAACTGTGATACTTTTAAAAGTTTCAATTTAAGGTCAAAATGTTTTTTTTTTTTTTTTATTTAAAATTTTATTTATGTTTTTTCTTTGATTTAAAATTAATATTATTTTTTTTTGTTGTTGTTGGTTTTTTTAGGATAAAAGCACTTACAAGTCTTCAAACTTGTTTTCTCATACTACCCATCAAGATATTGATTCTTCTCAATGTTCCAGTAAAATTAAACCACTGAAGTTACCCAATGAGAACAAACCTCTCTTGCCTCACAATCCATCCATAATAAAAAGTAATTTTCGATCTTTTTTAAACAGATTATGCTTTTTTTGACCTTTTGTTTTTCTTTTTTCAAAATAGTATGAAATATGCATTGTTAAATAATCTGGACATACATGGAGAATTTTAAATCTTACTGATTTTTTTTTTTTAAAAATATTTACGTTTATGCAGCAAAAATTGCTTGTTATGGGGCAGATATTTTTTTAAGAGAAATGTTTCCTACATTATTCGTTAAACGAAAATAATAAGCAGACGTTGACAAAATTCATGCAATGCAGTGACAAAAAATAAAAGTTACGAATAGTAGTATGCATGCTGCTCCCGAAGGCAAAAGATAAATTTCCACTTTAGCTAAAAAGTTTCCAATTCTGTCATTTCGTGAATAAGCCATCAATCTGCAAGTCTTTTTTTTTCCAACTCAACTCTGTGAAACTATCATTTTACAAGGTATAAGGTGAATAAACAGAAGTGATAATTTTAGGAAAACTTTAAATATAATTTTGCATTAAAGAGAGATGGAACACAATTGCTGAAGTTAGATGCAAAAGGATTAATGTCAATTTTGTGGGGACGAATTATGGGAGCAAAAGTATACTTCTTTCTTTTATGGATCATTGATATTGTTTTCTCAATGTATATATTGTTTTTTATGTATGTCTGGTATATTTAAAATTTGTCATGTTTTTACTATTTTTGGAACAAAGGTTTTTTTAAAGGAAAGACTTCTGCATGATTGCAGATACTTTTGAATTGTGTGTGTTAATAGTTTATTATTTTTTTTAATCTTATGCATTATACAAAAAAAATTTCCTGTGTATTTTTGTACCGGTACAAAGCCTGTATAATGAGAAACCTGCGTGGTATATTTTAATATAAAACTTCAACCCAATTTATGACGATAGACACCAATTTCAGTTCAGTGGGTTAACTAGTTATTTTGTAATTAATATTTAAAATTGCTCGATTAGCAACGCCCCTTGAAACGCAGTTAGTTTCCCCATCTCGGCTGATGACGTCAAAATATAGGAAAAATATGCGTCCTATCACCTTCTGTTACAGTAAAAGCGCATGTCCATGGGTGCCACTCTTCAGTCCTGGGGACTGAAATCAGTCTTGAGAAAAATCAATGTACTAATAAATTCTATCAATTCAATAAAATTTTCTTTCTTTTTTCATTAGAAATGTAAAAATTTTTTTGATCAAATTAAAAAATAATATATCTTAATGAAAACATATGATATGGTAATGATGTCAGGAATTTTATTTGTCTTCTTTTTGTCAGCTTCACTAATTCTTATTCTTAAAGTCTTGACAAGTGGGATTGATTGAACTTCATCTACTTGTGTAATTAAATTTGCTCTATTGCTGAATCTAAATCGGCTCGAGTTTGATTCCCCCACCCGAAACTATTGTGATGCCGGGCAAAGTTAAATCAATATTATTTTTGTAAAAAAAGAAAGAAATTATAGTGCTAGAACAAAAAATAAGTAACTGTGAAGTGAAAAATAGAGATATGAATGGCTTCAGGTCCCAAATATACAAGGTAAGCTGTTATTTTCGTTGTTTGCTAAAAACACATGAAATAAAGAACAAAAATTTTTAGAAAAAATAATCAAATGATTGATTTAATATGTAGGCTATTATGAAGGAAAGGTAAATTTTGGTGTCAGTGAGCTATAAATTTCTAAAAGTAAACAACGCTAGACAGTATTATTTGGTCAAAAAATAAGTTCAGTCTTGAAATTTTTTTAGAGTGGCACCGCTGCGCATGTCGTAGCTCGTAGAACATTAATAAAAATTCTCAAAAGTAACTCCAAGCACTTACAACACGTATTTTTTATATCACGTTGTAATAGCTTTACATTTAACATGCCATGTAAAATTTAATAATATAAATATACATGTACCAAGAGGCGAAAAATGACAGGATTGGTGCAAGGCCATCAAACGTGATGACCAAAAAGAAGGGGGGGGGGAGAATTGGGAACTATCTGAAACAGTATTTTGTTATAAAACCATTTTACAGTACTTAGTAATATTTTAATTTTATAAGAATGTTTTTCTCTTGATTAAGCTTCTCTGAAGAAATCATTCATTATGCTGAATTAAAATGTTTATGAAATGATCTTTTTAAAAAATGCCTTTTTCTTATTTTATTCTTTGAAAGGATTTTATTCTTAAAGAGTAATCATGTACAGCATAGATTCTCAACCTTTTTAACGTTGCCGCCCCCTTAAGGAGCAAAAAACATTTCAACGCCCCCCCTTCGTGAAAATGCAGTTGTTTAGAGCATGGAGACGGAGGGTGGTGTGCTGAATTATAAACAAAATCTTAATTTCTTTACGCTTTAAATTTGTTTGGTCTCTTTAAAAAATATAATGAGCTCATTAACTCGATAATTTTCTCGCGGCAGGTAATCGCAGTCTATTTGTTATAATAAAAATAAATACGTTCAATGAAAAAAATATAGCAATGAAACCTATGCTTAAAAAAATAATTTATTCTCAATTAGATAATTAAAAAAAAAAAGATTTTTAACACTAAAAAGTAGTATCAGCGAAACATTCAAGTAACTATGTTAGTGGGATGATTGTACTTAATGGTTCAGAGCCAATTTCTTAACGGTCGGCTCAATACTTTTAGTGAGATGAAGACGCTAATCCCCTCGTTGCACAATTTTGAGTCGATTTCTCCTTTTTGTGATAAGATCTGTAACAACATTGATTCCACGTTCGACAAGCTAGGGGGAAGGGGAGGCAATTAAAAAATGTTTAATGATAGTCTACAGTCCAGGATAGAGACGACTGATGTTACCTTTAAGCAAAAATTCTGTGAGAAGATCATCATTCCAAAGTTTACTTAGTTAAAAGTTCAACCAATTCCTCGTAAATCTGAACCTCTGCTGTTTCAATATTCACAAAAGGGTTCAGAACCCATAAACCCATTGAGGCACTTCTAGGGAACAAAACATCTTTAAAACGGTCAGAAAAGTTCATGTGCAAAGGGTCAAGGTGTTGACAATATTCTTGTGCATCATCAGAGTGAATTTCGCCTGCTTGGCTGAACTCATTCCAACCAAAATTCTGCTTCTACGAAATGAGTTTTTTTAGAAAGGCAGAAATAACTGATTTTGTAGGGATCAAATTGAGCTCGTTGCCTTGAAGATGTAAATTATCACCCTTAAATTTTACAGAAAAATCTGTCAAAGTCTATCTTAAATTCTAGCAATCTGTCTCTCAGAGCTACATCTCTTTTTTCGAGGAGCTCAAGCATAGAGTCGAAAAGATTCCAGTACCTATTGAGACAGAGGCTTTTGGAAAGCCAGCGAATCTCGGTGTATAGTAGCAAGTGATTGAATTCTTTATCGTTTTTCTTTCACAGCTGTCTGAATAATCAATCGTAGAGAGCATTACAATGAATTTTGTTCACAGCAGATATGACATATTGCAATGATTGATGCAAACGGTTGCTGAGATTTTCCCCTACTAAATGCTTTCTGTGAATCAAGCAGTGAACAGCTGAGACATCTGGTACCTTCCTTTCCAAAAGGGTAATGTCGACCCACCATTGCAAGAGCCTATCAGTGGTAATAGACATAATATTCGCAAGATGAATGCTTTTCTCTTTAAAATAATCTTTGAAAGTATTAAAAATACATTTACCATTGATATCTACAATCAATATCTACAATCAAGCTTCTTGCAAAAAGCATCTCTTGAATAGTTTTTCCTACCTTTACAAACCGGACCTATGCCTACAGTTAAGCCTACATTATCTGGCAAGATTGATTTATCAACTTGAAGGGAAAATTCGTTGGATATCAAAAGTTTGCGCAAAGAAATTTCAACGTCTTCAGCCAATTCATCATTTCGTCGCCGCACTGTATCGTTGCTTACGGGATATTTTTTATTACAATGGATGCGACTGGATGGTGTAAAACTGTTTCTAAAACTTCCTTGACAAACGGCAGTATCAACTCTGCTCCGATGGTATGAGCTTTCCCTATTTTAGCAATAAATTTTGATATATTATAAGAAGCTATTAAACCATCGTCGCATTTTTGTGATGAGGTTGCTAGTAACCCAGACACCGACGGTGCCTTCAGAAGCGTGAAAGAAGATGTTCATGAAAAATGTCAAATCTTTATTTTGTTTGTCAGGATAAGTTTTTTGCAAATGCTCCTGATAACGGTAAGATATCATTACCTCATTAGATGAAACTTTATTACAAAGTAAACACATGGGTAGTTGAGAATTCAACAGTGATTGAACAAATCCCAACTTCAAGTATGTGGCACTGTATTGATGACACCTCTTTTTATTAACCGACATTGTTGGTGGCAGAGGAAAAAACTGTAATGAAACTAAGAAAAACCATTATTAGAAACACGGGTCAAATCAAAAATTCATACTGAAAGCGCAATGACTTCAATTTTCACCAAATGGCTTGAATAAGTCAAAGGCAAGAGGTACAGACTCATGCGCTGAGGTGTGTTGGTTTGGATCGGAGAATAGGTGCCGTATAAGCTCGTTTTATTGCTGGTACAAATGGTGTATCGGATAATCTTTATTTATTATATTAATTTAATTTTTTTCTTTTTAATATTAATTTTAGATTAATTTTATTTATAAAATAAATCTTAATTTAATAATTTTATTTCTAAATTTTAAATTTGAGTGACAAAACATGCTCATCGCCCCCTACCGCCCAAAACATACCCAACGCCCCCCTACTGCCCAAAACTAGTTCACTGCCCCTCAGCATACCCTCAACGCCCCCAGGGGGGCGGTATCGCCCCCGTTGAGAACCAATGATGTACAGGTTATTCCTATAATATTTTTCTCTTATTTAAACGACCTATTTCGTTTTGTTCTGCTGTAACTTTGTTATCTAAAGCATATGTTCTTTTGTTTTTTACTTTATTGAAATCGAAATTTTAGAGATAAATTTTTTTTAATTTTTTGTGTAGTTGGGAGGAGGAAAAATGTAAAAAGAATTAAAATAAAAAAT